CTATTGCAAATGTGATCAATTTCATTTTACAAATGTTTAATAAGGTTTAAATCTGTTAATTATGCTAGCCAATTTAATATTTCAATATTATTGTCATTAAACCATTTATATGTTTTCTTTGCTGTATGTTTTAGGTCATTATTCTGTTAGAAAATGACATGTTTGCATAAATTTCAAATCTAATTTGTTGAAAAGTCCTCCAACTTGTTTTGGTATAATACAATGTCATTTTCAAAACCTTTGCAAATTTTAATTCCAATTCTGTAGGTGAATTAAGTCTATTAAAGAATTACAAAACGGAACTATTTGCAAATGATTTGGCATGATCTCACCAAAGGTAAATGTGAGGGTTTCCCATTGAAATATCCGAAATCTTTAAAATTTAATGACTTGCGTTTTATTAATGATTTAAAGTAATGGGCGAAACTTAAATGAATTCGTGATAACTTTAAATATAAATACCTTGTTTTTCTTGTAAACCCTAATAAATTTTTTCCAGTTGAAAAGTTTATTTTATTATTTTCGAAGTTTTTGAAAAAAGATATTTTATGATAGAGGCAGTTATTTTAAGTATTCTCGCGAAAATTGGAATGATAACGTCAATAAGAATCCAAAGTTATTAAAAAGTAAAATTAAGACAATTTATTTAAAAAATTAAGCTAAATATGAAAAATCTTCAATAGTAAAATCTTATATGATACCATATAAAGTTTTGATTAATTAGTTGACAGCGCACCCACTATAGGATGCATAAAAAAAACATATGTAACATCATTTATTATTATTTAATTTATTTAAAAGTAAATATAAAATTTCAACGCTGCATAATTTTTCAATTTTATTAGTAATATTGAAATTGTATGTACCCATGCATTTTGTGCGGTGCATATATACAAAAACTTGTTAATGCATGTTTGAAGGTTTTGATAAGAATATTTGTATTATTACTTTAAAAATGATTTAGGACCTGATCCTAACTTAATGGTCACATAAAAATCATCGATCTCAAAGTTCATTTTCCTTATTCATAAATTTATTGTATAGATAAGCGATTGTTATTAGAATTTCTAAATTTGTTCAAAATTTATTTGGGACTGTCTAACATCCCTATATAAAGATAAAAATAAAGTAAAACAGTAATAGGATTATTCGAGAAAATTTGTAATATTTCTTGATTTTGCAAAAAAATATTTCACGTGATCAGATTTTTTTGTTTTTTAAAGAAATGGCCGCTAAACAAATTCCTTAATTGGAAGTTCGAAATAAAAAATCAAAATACTTTAAATAAAATTAATCTAAAGGCCAACGAGTAATATCATTTAAAATATTGAAATCCTCCTCTTGCATTAATTTTATCCTCGCTTCTTTAATTTTTTCGGAGAACTTTGATTTTACGTGCGCACAACCTTTGGGTCCAGAAATGAAATAATTGGAATCTATCATGACCAATTTGTCAAAAATTCCCTGGATACCAGATCCATTAAATTCATCATCAAGTTCTTTAGCATTATCGGGAAATTCATCAAAAAGAACATTTAAAGCTTTCATCGTTATCCAGGTATTTAACTTAAAAGTCTCGTTTAAAGATTTAATTGCATTGTGATGTTGTGGCCCTATATTATGAAATGTTGATGATTGTGCCTTATTCCCCCCTACATTCATTAATGGATAATCTGTCGCTAAGTATATATTATTGATTCCTAATTCTTCCTTCAGTTTGTAAAG